AAAGAAGGAGAAAAAACAAAACAAATACAACTTGCTACCAAAATCAAATGCTGAAGCTTATCCTATGTCTTATCTCACTTATACTTATCTATAGGGGATAGAGAGGGAGAGACAAAGTCAGAAATGGTTGGGGAAGGGGAGGGAATGCATTTAAAAAGAAAAAAAGGAAAACTGGGGGTTTTGCTACAAGTGCAGCCAGACCCTCAGGAGGCAGCTCTGGAGGGGCCAAAGGTAGGGTTGACATCTCTGATACAGATCCAGCGCCTGAGAGATTCGCAGGCTATGGTAACAATCTTCTCTGTATTCAGGTAACCACAGTTCAGGTTTGGTGCCTCATTCTCAAGTGTGATTCTGTGCAGAAGGAAAAGAGCACAGAAACTTAATTGTTGTGAACCTGAAGATAGTCTGAGTAGTGTGTCAATGCCATTTCAGTCACACACAAACCTGTTGTATAAGGAAAATACAATTCTAAATCAATATCTACAGCACTGCTTTCAGAACAACTTAATTTCCTTTATTCCTAGTCACCTCCCCACACTGATGATGGGGTAGGGGTGGGCAGCCATACCCACTAACTTACATGTCATTTGTAAAAGGTGATCCATCCACCCATCGCCACCCTTCAGCTCCTTTTGCCAGTCCAATCCAGTAGTAAAAATGTTCTTTGTAACGGTTGATGATTTCCTATAATTAAATCCAGCAAGACTAGAGTTGTTCCTCTTATAATTGCATACAATTTACAAAAGGCTTACAGTGAAATCCTGTCTTGATATAAGTCACTGGTATGACTCTAATGTGTATCAATGGCCCAATCCTTTACCCTTTGAGATGACTATAACACAGAGAACTAATACTTGCCTCCAGACTCCTTGTGAAGATCGGACCTAGTCTGCTGCTTTGCCCTGCCAGACCTCCACTAGCAGGGCAGATAGGGCAGCAAAATGAAAGTGAGGTTCTGTTTGTGGACAGCATAGAGGCTATTATTCCACTGGAGGTATGCTGCCAGCTTCCTGATTGTCTTTACCTGTAGAACGAGCTAACGCAGTAATGGGTAAAAAGAGAGGCACTGGTGTAATAAAAAGGAGATGACAGTAGGAGTGAGGCCAAGTAACAGGGAAAAGGATACAAAACATTGAAGCTTAAACCAAAAGAGGGGCTGGGTCACAAAACCAAGCACTAGGAGATCTGGGCTCCTTTCCCAGATGCCCTTCTCCATGCCACCTTGCGGGTAAGTCATCCACTCTGCAGTGACCATTTCTGTGCATTTATTTTGGGCAATTCACAACAAAAGTAAAATCCCACATTCCTTGCAGGACTTTGTCCTAGCCTCTCTTTTGTTGTGTTAATTTGGATGGAATAAGTGGGCTTGGAGATTTGCAGGTGTTCTTATGACCTTGTCATTGTACAATATTGAACAGCTGAAGATGGTACAGGTTGTCAAGTATGGAGACTGAGGGTGCAACACAATCCTTAAAAATCTGTATATCCTTTTGTTAGTAATACATGAAAAAGTAGAGAAAGAGGTTTGACCTGATTAAATGTGAAACAACATTTTCATTTCAACAATATCCCTTTCTCTCTTTCCTTTAGCGACAGAGTTTTAATTAAAGTTCTGTATGGTGACAAGTTAGGACTGAATATGACATTAACTGTCCTTCTTGAGAATGGGGGAAAGCCTGTTGCAATAGGCTGGTGCAGTTCCATGCACAAGAGCACGAGCACACAGGAAAAGAAAACAACAGCCAGGATCGGAAGTGCAGTTTCTGTCTTTGCTCTTCCAGTTGCAATTCCAGCAGGACACGAGTGGAAACAAACAGGCAGAGCACACAGCCCAAGGAGTCACTCAAGACCTGGTAAAATTCTATCATGTTGTTGTTTGTGCCTCTTTTCAAGCTGCCTTTCTGATGTCAGGCTCATGGTACCATTGCAAAGGATGGAACTGCTCTGCCAGGCTGGGCTGCACCCGTTAGACAGAAGCAAAGGGAGAGAGCTAAGGAAGGAAGATACTAAATCTGGAAGAAAACAGCTCTTCAGGGAGAGCAGGAAACCAAGTTTTGGAGCCCAGCTGTCATTTAGGAATTATCTGAAGTTAGTGATGGCATGTGGGTCCCGATCTCAGGACATATCTTAGCATTGGGAGGGAGAAGGGGATGGAAACTCAGTAATGTCACTCTGTATCCCCTATGATGATAGGGTAATGGTAGAGGCTGCTTCTGTCAGCCCACATTTCCAATGCATTTTAATTCCCTCCCCCAAAATCTTTAATACCTCAACCGGAGAGGTCAGGGAGGACCCAAGTCCTCATTAATTTGTCCAACAATTAGGCATAATTTCTAACAAACTGATTTTGTTTGGTTAAACACCCTTATTCACCCATTCTTAAAATCAGACCCTGAGTTGTGGAAGCAAACTTCTGGATTTTGACTAATTTAGTCTCCCTTTCCTTCTTGTGAAAACAGGCTTGTGCAGCAGGCTATGCTGGATGTCTGTTATCTTTTGACAGTCTAGAATTAAGGCCAGGGCACAGCACACCTCAGCCTGGCTAGAGGGAATTTTGGGGTCCATTTTAATTTTATATTTTTTTGCCTGTAAACTCCCTCCTTGCCACTATTACTTTCAATGCTGGACATCTCTTGTAAGGCATATCTAGCTATTCTCTTTGAAGATCTTTGCTTACTTATTAGTAGCATAACTAAGGAGGCGGGACTGGGGCACCAGCCCTGGGCTCCGACTTAAGAAGGGGAATGAAAATAACAGCTGCTCTCGCTGCTCTCCCAGGCACTGCTGACAGCCCAGCTGTAGCTGCTGTAATTCGTGCTGCTGCCACCCAGGGCAGAGAACTACCCATTTCTACCTCTGACAGAGATCAAAAGTTGAAAGCGACAAATTGCTAAAAAGGATCTTTGTGAAATTCTAGTTCAAGACTGCATTTTATTTTGCACTTACCAGGTCTGATTTGGTTTTTATTATGACCAGAGAAGCATCAAGCGATGAACAGAATTCAAGACTTTCATTCCAATTTCTGGTCCCATTGGAAAAATAGTAACATCTCCCATCGTATCCCATCCAACCTTTTGGGCAGTTGTTGCACTCTTGAGGTGAAGTATGTTTCACTGGGAAGGCAGAAAACAAATCAGTGGGTCTGTTAATATAGAACAAGTTTCTCTATTTTCATGACAAATCCTGAGAAAGCAAGAGAAAATGTGCAGAAAACAAGAAGGTTGTACAGCAGAAACAAAGGCTGAAAGTATACCAATTATCTTCAGTTAGACTGTAACCCAGGGGTGGCTGTGACACTCCTTGGTGGCCACGTGGCTCCTGTAGTGCTCTAGCTCTCGGTCAGGGATGGTCAATTATGTGGGTCCACTGGACACATAGGAAGTTTGTGGGAGCTGCTGTGGGCCAAGCCAGCACCCCTACACCCTGCAACAGCTCCCCAAACCTCCCTATATGGGATGGGGCTGTGGGCAAGTGGGGAGTTGGTGCGGGCATGGGTGGGGGAAGCTGTGGCAGGGACACTGAGCTGGGGCCCCTGACACCACAAGTGCCACCTCCAGGCCACCCTTCTACTCCAAGGATGGGATGATGCTGCTGTTTCCTGGATTCAGCAGAGGCGGCAGCTGGACAGAAGGTGTTGTTGGGGATTGGGAAACAGCAGGTGAAGCCACCTCCCTCTCACCACTGCTGGAGCTCTTCTCACTGCAGCCAGCTGGAGCCTGCACTGGGGCTGCCCTGCAGCTCTTCCTCACTGTCACAACCAGCACCACCTCTGGGCTGCCCTGGGTCTCTGCGATCAGCAGGGGGGCAGCACAGAACAGCTGCAGAGCAGGTTCTAGGCAGCCACAGCACGAAGGGCTTGGCAGTGGTGAGTGGGAGGCACCCATGCCCACCACTAGGTCCTGGGCAGTCCTCAGCCCATGGTTTGGACCCTAGCTGGACAGGTCCTGGCCAGTCTTCATGAAGCCAGCGTTGCTGCTGGTGGCAGCCAGGAGCCACCACCACGGCAGTCCTCAGCCCATGGTTTGGACCCTAGCTGCACAGGTCCTGGCCAGTCTCCATGAAGCCAGGGCTGCTGCTGGTGGCAGCCAGGAGACATCACCACCAGGGCTCCCAGGAAATGTAGTCCCACCTCAGTGCTGACCCAGCCCCGTCGTAGATGGCAACAGGGCCAAGCAGGACTGAGGGACCCGCTATGGGCTTCACAAAGTCCCTCTGAGGGCCACATTCAGCTCACGGACCGTATTTTGCCCATCCCTGCTCTAGGTTATCTTCCCCTTCTTCCCCACCCGCCACATCTTGATGTTCTTATCTTTGGAAAGGGAGGCTAGGCTGCCCAAGGGTCCTACAGAAATCCCTAATCTGTCCTTCTGTCAGCAGATCCCTCTCAGACCTTACTGGTCCCCAACAATCTTCATATTAGATAGGTCCTCCTGGTCTGCATGTGCCCTTATGGCACTGGTGGGCAAAATAAGACCCACAGGCCATATGTGGCCTGCCAAGGGATTTTGTCTGGCCCGTGGCAGGTCCCCAGGCACGTGTGGCAGTCTGGATGGTGGCTCATGCAACCAGTTCTGCTGCCTCTAGGTATGCAGCAGGGCACAGTGGCTGGACTCATTTCTCTGCAGTGGCAGATCATTCTGGCTGCCACCACTGTCAGACCCAGCACTGCTGCCCAGGTACCCCAGTGAGTCAGCCCTGCACCCACCACTGAGAGCAGGACCCACTTGGGCAGGGTGCACACCTGGCCAGATGGGATAGTGCCATGGGCAGGCAGGGAGCTGTGTTTGGGAGTGGGATAGGCAGGAAAGGCCAGGATCATAGTTTCATAGTTGGTAGGGTCAGAAGGGACCTGAGATCATCTAGTTTGACCCCCTGCCATGGCAGCAAAGAGTGCTGGGGTCAAACAACCCCAGCCAGACGTTTGTCCAGCCTTTTTTTAAAGACCCCAGGGTAGGAGCCAGCACCACTTCTCTTGGAAGTTGGTTCCAGGTCCTAGCCACCCTGACTGTGAAATAGTGCCTCCTAATGTCTAGCCTGAAACTACCCTCCGCTAGCTTGTTTCTGTTGTTTCTTGTAACTCCCGGGAGTGCTCAGGGGAATAGGGACTCTCCCAATGCCTGCTGGTCCCCCTTGACTAGTTTGTAGACTGAAACTAGGGGCAGAATTGCAGGGTGCTGACATCGTGCGGCTGGGGCCAGGTTAAAGCTGCGATCCAGTCCATGCACACCCTCATGATGGGTACGGGGGCCGTGGGCAGGTGCATGCAGGGAGCAGATCATGGCTCTGGCCTGGGCTTAGCCCTGGTCCCAGACTGTCACAGCCTCCAGATCCCAGTTTCAGTCCTAGACACAGCTCCCCACCCACCTGCAACCCCAACCTGTTCACTTGGCCACACACCCTACCCATGCAGGTCCTGGCTGGTTTCCTTGGAAACCCCAAGACTGCGGGGCTCTGGGAGCATGTGGTTAGGGCCCTGGGCAGAGTCACATTCTGAATTTTTAATAAGTCATATCAGTCAATACTGATCTGATTGCTGATATGCAGGTGGGCAGCCTAGAGAGCAGCATCCGGCTGGTAAGTGTGTTGTGGGGGAGGGGGGGGAGGGGTGTGTGTGGGGGGCAGATTGAGGCCCCTACAGTGAGGGAGGGAGTAGGGCTGGGGCAGGAGCTACACGGTGCTTATCCGGGAAGGATGGGGGCCGGTGGGGGGATGGCAGCTCCCGCTGCTACACGCACTCCAGAAAGGCATGGGGGTGTGTGCCCCTGCCTGGATCTGTGCATGGGGTGAGGAGGGGCTGCCGCTGCGGTCTGGGGCCAAGGGCAAAGCCAGGCTTTTCTCAGTGGGGGACTGGGCTAGACTAGGTAGAAAAAGGAGCTACAGGACGGGGGGATTGCAGCCACCAGAACATTTGCAGTGGCCCCTTCCCAGCACTGCCACTGCCTTCCCCAAGTGCAGCACCAGCCGAACCCCCCACCAGGAAGATCCCAGTGCCAGCCCCAGCCTGCAGTTGTGGCCCGTCCCTCCCCCGCATACAGGTCTGGGGGACAGCTCCCAAGGCGCGGGGGGGGAGCCACAACCCTCTCTCTGCAGCTCCGAGAGAAGCTGCTCACAGCTCCATCCTGTGCCCCAAGCCCTGCCGCAGCTGTGCAGTTCCTGCCCCTGCACTAGCTTCACTCCCTCCCTCACCACTGGGGCCTCAATCTGCCTGCCCCCCCTGCCACGCACCTTCCCTCACAACAGACTTACCAGCTAGATCTGGATGCTCTCCACACTACTGGGCCACACTCCTGGCCTCCCGCGTGCTGCACTGTGGCTGCGTTCATGCACGGGACATTTATTGGCGACATTAATCAGCCACATCAGCCAAAAAACACTGACTGCCAATACTGTCAATTTTCCTTCCATCCGTGCCAATCCAATATGGGACTGATGTATCAGTGCACCTCTAATTATTAACATTTTACAAAAAGCTTAGTGATATTAAATAATGATAATCTAGATAGAAATAATTTATGTTAGTTGTTAAATACTAGCATGCAGCATCCACCAGCAGCTGCAGCTGATATCCACTGTCTCTCCGGTATGAATACACTGAGATCACATGTTTTGCTTCCACTGAAGGGGCTGGAATGGTAAAGCAGCATTTTGCCAAGTTGTGGAGATGTCGAAGCTGATCAGAAACAAACAGACTGCCAAAATACAGTCACAGTCAAAGGCACCTGGCACGCTGACCAAGTTCATTTAAGTAGCAGGTTCCTTGTCATGCTCTTTCTGCGATCCAGGGATTGATTTCAGTAGCTGAGGGTCAAATCTCAGAAAAGGCATCTATTGAGGTTAAAAATGTGACTAGCACCAGAAAAGGAGGCAGCCAGTTGTTTAAACCGCAGTTGTAGTGACTGATCATATTTGTAGTACTGATTCAGCTTTGCAGCTGTTGCCTGCAACAGTTCTTGTCTCCACTGCTTTTCATGTTGACAGTGTGAACGCTGTTTTGATGCCATGTCTTTGACCCAACTTATCAAATCCATCAGTGTGTTGTGTGCTTCATGGATCGCCGCCTGCCAGTTTTCAAACCATATTAGAAATTCCATGAACTGGATCTCATTTTCAACCACAAACTTAAACTTCAGCTTCAGTGTAACCCTGTCTTAAGAGATCATGTAGTTTAAGCATGCGCTGTGTGCCAGGTGTGATTTCAAGCTCCTCGCACAAAAATTCTGGGTGGTACTTCATATTTTTGGCATGGTAATGAACTGAGTTGAACCACAAATTCCACCTTGTAAGCACTGGCTCTGGTGGAAGTAACACAGTTGCATGTAGATCCCTGGTTTAATTGGCAATGGACTCCATATATTGGTAATGGACTCCCTATATTGAAGCTTACGGCCTAGACAATGTTTGAACACTTTTTTAAAAGAGGAAACCAGGCTATCCACATCAGAAAAATGTGCATGTCAGACTTCACTTGCTAGAGAAAGGATGTGTGCATTGCAGGTGACATGAATTGTGCTGGGCATTATTCTACAGAGCACGTCAGAGAAAGCTTTGCACATATAAAATGCATTATCAGACAGAAAAGCTGAGACCTTATTAAATTCTAAGCCGTAGTGTAAAACAGCCTTCACTACTAGAGGTGCACTGATACAAGGAAATTTGACATTATCGGCAATCATTTATTTTGGCTGGTGTAGCCAACTATGTCACCGATAAATGCCGTGTGCATGTTGTCAGAACCCAAGGGTGTGATTTTGTTTGTGTGTGCTTCGGCACTGCTAAATTATTTCCCACCACTCGGAGCTTTCTTTGCAGGGTGCATTTCTTAGTTGCAAAGAGAAATGCACGGTACAAAGGAGTTCCTGCCACCCGCATGCAAATTTGTGTCCCACTATTGGCCAGTTCTAAATTATTCCCACGTGGCGGCTGGCGATTGGCTTGCTAGCCGTATGAGGCTTGAGCGGTTTCCGCCCAAGTTGGAGGACTCCACAACTATCAGGAGGAGGAGACCTTCACGTCTCGTGAAGATCTCCAAGCGCTGCGGAGCCTATCGGACCCAGCGTATACCTTAAGAAGCCTATAGGGGTCTGATCAACCTCTGGCCTCTCCCCGTCGCTGAGCGCGATCCCTCGACGAACCCCCTTTCCCTGCGCGCAGGTTCTACGGAGCCTAGCAAACTTCGTGTGTGTGTGTCCAGAGCCTCGGACCGCCGCCGGCCCGCACACGTGTGCAATCACAGCCCGGCAGCTTGGAGATCAGTGTCTGGCTGGTAAGTCTGTGGGGGAGAAGGGGCAGGGGGAGGGAAGGGCCCTGGTGGCGCGGGGGGACGCAGATCAAGGCCCCTGCAGAGAGAAAGGTAATGGGGCAGGGGCAGAGGCAGAGGCCCAGCCAGGGTGGAGCAGGGCATGAGATGGAGCCACGCGCAGCTCGTCTGGGGGTGAGGAGGGGTGGGGGGGAACGGATCCCGCCACTTCACACCCCAA